GGACACAGTGTTGGTCACAGTTGGTTTGCATGGCGTACCCATACCTGCGTTCCAACCAGCACGTCGTAAATGACGTTCCCACGCTTACCCTGGATCGTGCCTGGCGTCCATTTGTGTGTCCTTCTCGGTAATCACGTACAAGTACTGGCTGACCCGGTTTAAACGAACGTCGCTTAGCACCATACCGCCGATTAAAGTCACGTTCCATCTTGAGGTTCCTTTCAATAGCTGTGGACCCTGAGGACGGCAGGACTGCATCAAATGTAATGCGAAGCTTGCGCCTCATCATTGCCTCTGCTGATGATATTCCACCCAGCGTTCGTGGATTTTGTGTAGATCGGTACAGAAAAAGGAAGCGGTCTGTGAAAAGTCGGTCTTTCAGGGACAAAACGTATATTCTGCAAACAACAGGACCAGGCGAAAACGGAGACAGAGGGCGAGTGAAACATATCGGTATATACAGCTGGTTGGATCCATAATTAACGACCTTTGTTGATGCATGACATTTTTCCTTTGATTCAGCCAAACAAACTCACTCCAATGCGTCCACTGTTGGCCAATCAGCGTGCATGCGAGAAACGTGTGAACGTCCAATCGGTTGCCGCCTTTGCTTGCGGCAGCCCAACGGCTTCCTTGCTGGGCTGGCACCGCACGTTCGTTCGGGTGTATAGTCACCATCACACGGTCAATCACCTCTATGTCTGCCTCCCTTCTTGATTTGAGGAGAGCGTGTTTGAATGTATCCACAAATCTTTTTGCTTGGCCGTTCGATTGCGGGTGGAATGGTGGAGACCGCACTTGTTTGATAACGCCACGTTTGTAGAATTCAGTGAAGGTTGACGAAGTAAACTGCGCTCCATTGCCCGTCACCAATGTTTCAGGGCAACCAAACCTACTGAAGATTTGTCGCAACCTCGAGACTGTTGCGCTGGCTTTTGTGCTGCTCATGAGGGACACTTCGGGCCACTTGCTGTAAGTGTCGACCACTATGAGAAAGCTCTGGCTATTGATTGGGCCTGCAAAGTCGACATGTACACGGCCACGAATGGAGTTCAGTCTTCGGCGGTGCTCTTGAAGCTATAACGCAGTTGTTACTTCTTCTAGCTAGCTGCTCCAGCTGTCTGTCCATAAACGGCCAATACACATAACTTCGGGCAAGCGCACTCATATGGTTGAGTCCTGGATGTCCTGCATGGAACTGCCGCAGCACTTTCCTGCAACGCCTGCGGGATGACTACTCTCTCCGAGAACATTACGCAATCGTTCACAATGGAGAGCGGATATTTTCGCTGATATAATTGTTGTATTTCGGCAGATGAACACGAAGGTTGTCAGCTGGTTCTGTGGGTGCGTAACCTTCTTCAGAATTGGATCTCGAAGCGTTCCGGCACGCACAGCATCGGCCGTAACTGGCAGACCATGTAGTGCCTCTCTCACCAGGAATTTGACATCAGGTTCGATCTCAACTAAGGCTATGATGGTGTCCTAGTGTTCTTGCTGCTGGGAATCAATGAGGAGTGACAACGCATCTGCCTGGCCCATCGAAACCGTTGACTGAGAACCGATTTCAAAATCATAGCCCAGCAAGGTGAGTGCCCATCGTTGGAGTCGATTAGCTGTATAGGCAGGAATTCCCTAATTCGAGCCGAAAATGGCCAGCAGCGGCTTATGATCCGTCAATAATTTGAAGTGGCGACCATAGAGCATCTTGTGAAATTTCTTCACAGCAACCACTATGGTCAATGCCTCCTTCTCGATCTGACTGTAGTTTCTTTCGGCTTTTGTCAGCGTCCTGGCTGCATGTGCGATCCCCTTCTGAGATCCATCTGAGAACGTATGGGAAACTACAGCACCGATCCCTAGACTCGACGCGTCTGCGGCGAGGACAATTTCTCGGCACGGGTCAAAGTGAATCAGGAGTAGGTTTGAAGCAAGCAACGAGTTGACTCTCTCGAACGCAGTCTGGCATTCTGGCGTCCAATTACAGGTTTGGCCCTTACTCAGCAACGTGTTCAGCGGGGCACGCAGGTGATACGGTTCGGGCAGAAAAGTCACAGAGTGAACGCCACAGAATGAACGCAGCGATTGCAATTCCGCAGGTGGGAGCATCTTTTGAATAGCTCGGATATTTTCTGGATCAGAGTGAGGACCGCTTTTGAGGAAATGAAGCCAGGAAACTTGATGGCTAGTGTAAAAAATGTACACTTGTCTTCACGGATACGGAAAGAATATGACTGGATGCGTTCAAGCACTTCAGCGAGCCGCTCAAATAGTTCTTCTGCCGTCCGACCCATTAAAATGATATCATCCAGGTACGTCGCGGCTCCAGGAACTCTCGCGAGCATAGTGTCCGCCAGCTGTTGGAAGATAGCTGGTGCTGTTTTCACTCCAAATGGGAGACGGTTGTACTGGTACAAGCCACGATGAGTGTTGATGGTCAGCAATTCTCTCGAGCTTTCATAACCCTCGATCTGGAGGTAGGCATCGGACAAGTCGAGCTTGGCGAAACACTTCCCACCATTGAGCTCGGCAAAGATATCCTCTGGTATCGGAAGGCGGTATTGATGGTCGTCCGGTGCGGCATTCAGGCCAGTCGACAAATCGGCACGGGCACGCAGTTTACCGTTCGGCTTTCTCACAGCAACGATCGGCGCAGCCCATGAAGAGTAATTCACTGGTGTGATGAGACCGGCTCGCTCCAGTCAGTCGAGCTCCTGATCAACTGCTGTCATGGCTGCATACGGTACCGATCTTTTCGCTCTGAAGACTGGATTGGTTCCTTCGCGAAAGCACAACTTTGCTTTGAACTTAGTGCAGTGGCCGAGACCATCTCCAAACAAGGGAGCAAATTGCTGCTTTAGTTTTCTTGTCATGTCTTCTATCGAAAACGTCGAATGGACTGGGTCAGTTTGGACTCTATTGCAAATCTGACTCATTGAAACATCCAACAGTTGTAATGTTTCCATCCAGTCAAATCCAAGGAGGTTTAAGTTTAGTCGGTTAGACAAGTAGCAGGTTACGGCCTGTTCGACTCAGTTGAAGGCAATTTTGCAAGTTATTTCTCCGACCAGCTTCAGCACTCCACCGGATGAGTTGTGGGCGACTTTGTTGGAATCAACCATCTTCGGCCTCTTTATATGCTTCCAAATGTTCTTAGAAATGATGGTTATACCTGATGTCGTATCGAACTGCAGCCGGGTTGGGATTCCGTTGATGAGCACAGTGAGAAATCGGCGGCGTGTTTTAGAATCGCTGTGAAACGTAGCAATCATCGATAGTGATTCTGCGTCAGGTTTTCTGAAATTCTTCCTTCGGTAGGACTGCTTCACACCTCTTGGCCGGGACTGATGGCAAAAGTCTTCCTTGTGGCCGCGTTTATGGCACTTATCACAAATATGACGCTTGAATGGACAGTATCGTGCGAAATGCCATTCACCACATGACCAACAAGGCGTAGGTGGCTTGTTCGGCTTTCTGTTGAACGACTTATTCGAGCCAGGCTTTCTTGCTTTTTGCACAGCATGGACAGTATCGGCAATGGTGGGGCAACTCTGCTCAATCATAGCCGTGTCGTGTTTCAAGGTAATTAACCGTTTGCATTCGCCTACAAGACTTCAATGTCAAATCTGGGTCTTGATCCAACTTAGCAAGGAGCCGAGTGCGGATTTCCGCCTCGCGTGAAGACTGTAAATCACTGACAAATATGAGACACTTAAACTGGTCATGCGTTAAACAGCGTAACTTGAAACGTTCACACTCAAGGAGAACCATGCTGCTAGTGCCCCATAATCGTCCGTATCATGCTTTACAATTTTTAGACATTGGTAGCGAATGCTAAACAAAGACGTTGACTCAACAAAAACTTCTTTAAGTGTTGCCACTGCTTCGTTTAAAGTGATGTCTTTCGGCTCTTTGGGTACGATGTGATCAAGGAATCTTGAATGTTCATTAGTACTGAGCTTGCGGAGCAAAAGACGCACTTTCCATGAATCATCTTGACGGCTGAAATCCGTCCGAAAAATATCCTCCCACGGTTTGAAGCACGCCTCGAAAGTGTATTCGGAATCAGCATCATAATGAAATTCAGTGACTGAATTCGTAAGAAACAGCCTGTATGTCGCGTGTAGCGGCTCCGTTGGACTGTACTTTCAAGCAATGCGTTAAACTTTCAAGCAGTCACATGTGTGCTTCCATCTGGAATTGTTGCTGAGGAAGCAGCTTTTGAAAATGTTCGGCGGAATAGTTTGTACCATTTTTGTGTTTGTCCGTCGCCATTGTTAAATTTTCACGTTTTCTCGCTATTCGAAATAAGCACCCAAAATTTCTCCGCAAATATTCTAACCTAGCCGAAGAAAAATCAAAAGTCCAAAGACCTTGACCGCGAAAAACGTGTTAACAAAAACGCTGTCAAACGTAGTCAAAAACGCCGCCAAAACGCTGTACAAACTATACCAGGCCTACGCCGAATATATAGGGGGCTCAATGACCTTCGGCTTCCAGAAAACGAAGGTCAAGTGGTAAAATCAGCAGCCTCCCTGCCAAAACTCCGTATGCTGGCGATCACGTGAAAGAATGGAAGGTGCCGGAATCTTCGAAATCAATGCACGATGGAAGATAACCGATTAACTGCTAAGAGTGGATTTTCCTTTGTTTTTACCTTTTCCCGGATAATCCCAGCAAATGGGTTGGCACGCAGGGAAAACGCACCTCCAGGAGACTACTAGACATAACCAGGAAACCTAGTCAAAAGTGAACATGCAGCGGGATCAGCAGTACACTGGGACGCATTATCGAGGCTTCGCTACCGCTCAACCACCGCTAGTTGCAAGTGGGCTAAATATACTGCGAGGGTCGCCCTGTCCCTACGCAGGTTCGAACCTGCGCCGTAAGATTACAAGGCAAGCGTGTTACCTTTAGCCTACGGGCCGGCAGACACAGGGAGGGAAACAAGAAATGATAGCAGGTCGCCTACAAAAATACCAATTTCAAATAAGTATGAGAAAGCTTCGGCTTTCCTATATTCAGAGATGTCAAACTGACAAAAACTGAGATGTTTGTCAGCATGACAAATAGGGTGAAAACTAATTGAGTTCAGATGACCAACAACAGATTTGAAGTGAATGACTTTTATACTGGAATGAACTGTGCTGATTACCATCGAGAAGCAATACATGACAAAATATGCGCCGGTAACCTAGCCCAGGAAAAAAGGACCCATCCAAAAACGGAAGACAAGACCCTGGGACGAGAAATACACAGAAAAATGTTGAAGCAGATTAAAATATCGCATAACGATGTGTAAGTGTATCACGAACAAGCTAACGTTAACCTATTTTTGTTCAATATTCGAGAAATATCCAGGTTGGCAATCTTTGGCACGTAGCGAATAGTGATGGAAATTCTGGTGCCCCGAGACATCTCTTGTCCCGCATGCAGCAGAAACACATGGCCTGAATCCTCAACGGTGCAGTTCACAGGATGAAACAAATGCGTAGGTTGGTCCAAGGAATAATTCTCGCCCTCCGCACAAATTTTGTCAAGGAAAGAGCAACTGATGCCGTGCATGTAATGCGTGTATAACTCTCCAGTCACCACATTCATACTTCGGGGGTGCAACAAAGCTGAACCAATGTAGCGGGCATCATAAGAGGTTGAATTCCATTTCTGGAAGGGGATCTTAGATAAGCAGGTAAGGTAGAACTACCTCATGACATTCCATATCACAAGAAGGGAGTGGTTTGTAAAAGTCCAACACACCGTGAGAACCCAAGTTGATGGTTGCAACCACAGGATAGTACAGTGGGCCATCGTGATGAGGCTGAAAGTCAGAAAAGAGGGGCAGAAAAGTAAGAGAAATCGAAAATTGAACAAAAGAAATAGTAACGCACGTATCACCGTGATAAGGGAAGGTAGGAAAGAAAACTCCGGGTAAAACATTCTCTTGTTCATGTCGAACAAGATATATCGGAAGAACCACTAGAAGGCTGTCTGAAAGAATACGTGTGCATTGCCCAGTTAGTCTACGCAATGGTGTGAGTAAAATTGTGATGAATGCCATGTTGGCACATTTGGTTGATTCTAACCATCAAATCGACATCTAGCAAACTTTCCAACCCATTTGCCGTGTACCTGGATGCCCTTCACGAGCGGCAAAACGTCGCTTGCTAGCAGCAGCTGCGCTGATTGCTATCCGCCACCAGAACGCAGACTTGTGTGGTTAGAAACGGTTCGTTCAGATTCTACGTTTATCTTGGCCGGCTATCACAATGACCCATGTTGAGGAACATGTCGCTGACAAGGCATCGACCGCCTCAGATTCAACCACTTAGCATTTCATTCCAATGACCTTGAACTGAACTTTATCATTGATATTTCATGTTAACCTTATTCCTATCAGTTGTGGTGTTTTAGCCGGATGATAGCCACCGAAAACGAGCTTGTTCGCTAACTTGTTCTGATGTCCACGCCTGGGATATATTTTTCACTTAAAACACTTTTCTCGACCTTACAAGCTCGAAATTGCAGGTGAGAATTCCTCAGTTCCGCAAGGTATGTTGTAAGCTGACCCCAGACAATGAGCAGACATAAGTAGATACAAGTGACAGTGCATGCATTTCATACCGCCTCGTCAGTGCCGACAACTGCAACTTGGAATTACAACGATTAGATGGTGGAAACAAACTTGAAAACTAACGATAAGAGAAAAGACGGAAGTCGTGTCACAACATCCAGGGCGATCTGACGCCGACTGAGGTTTGCTTTTGGACGCAACGCACCGGTTTACTTCAATTTAGTAGGAGGACCTCAGTGAATCGAAGGAGGCATGAATTGGTGCGATTCAGCCAAATTTTGAATGCCGTGCTGACCTCGATTAGGTGACTTGAGGTAACGGCGGGACCTTTAAATCGGCTGTTGGCTTTTTACTGAACTACATTTTCGCTTGATCTACTGCGGATATACGAATTTTATAGAAATATTTTGACAAGTATGTTGTTCCAAAGTACTTCTAAGGACACCAATATTGTTTAACTCCCATATTTTAAATACAAGTCGAGATACCGCGCACCGTTCGCGAGTTGTTGCTTTTTTAGCGAGTAATCTTCAGCGGGAGCCCAGAAAGCGATTCCGAAAACAGTTCGGGTTGCAAGGAAACTTTTATTGGTACAGTAAAAGATTCCCTGTTGCCTAGCTATAAAAAACGACACCGTTGACGCTCTAGCTAGGGGAACGGAGAATGCACAGCACACAAGGTAGTTGCGCGTTGCAACCGAAACGAGCGCCAAGCAAAAATGACGATGATCAAGTCAAGCATTCGAACTCAGCAATCAGTTCAACAAAGCACACCGGTCACCTAGGTGTACAAGCAAATAATTTCGGTCAGAATTTTACACAGGCAAACCGGAGAATCTCCAGACTGCTACACACTTAGCCAATAAATTTTGCGCCAGTTGAGACGAAGTACGAAGAAGTGCCTTCACAAAACCACTCTGACGGCTGGAAAAATGCAAGCATTACGTTCATCAATTTGCGCTAAGTACTCAAGGAGGCAAGTTCTTTTACTCGAGTGATCATTTTCCCTTTTCCATTATCCAGTTATAAAATTTTATATTTTCGAATGTCATTCATAGTGCAGACTGCAAAGTGCTGGAAATGCACCCATTTGGGTACATAAAACGTGCCTTGACTTGACTTGAAACAAAATAAGTGTCTGTCGGTGGCTTGCGTGGACGTACAATCTGAGTTAAGTGCTGGCTGCTGCGCTATATCACAATGTACCCGATTTGGCACGTGCTCCTTCATCTGCGAACTCAGGGTCCTATCTGTCCTGTCTACGTAACTAGCTCCGAAAAAGCTACATGACACAGTGTGTAAGACCGAGATATGCTTAGGGTTAATCTGGAGAAAGATTCTACACAACATCAACGTAGTGCCACCTGCAAATCTTGCGCTGGTTACAGCTACAGCTGATTGTGTACCACAAATGTGTGGAAAAAGTCCGAAAATACGTCGACTGATCTACACCGTTGATGCGAATAGTAAAGCGGTTATTCCTATGAGGAATCGAATCGTCATACTGAGCATAACCTAGTCTGCGGATAGAAACGGAGTTGCGGAGAGAATCCCAGGCAAAAGGGTACGGGCGTAACAAGTTAAAGAGGTTGTTTACGCAAAGAAAAAGTGAGACTGCGCATTTGCACTGCTAACCAACCATGTAGAGAGCAAGCACTGCAGTTTCAGTTGTCATAATTAAAACACCGAAGATGTAAAAGTGAAGGAATAGATTCCACCGAATCCCTGAAGTTATGAAAAGTAATCCTTGATAGTTCCGCCCAGTTCGGTCGAACATCCATGATCACGGCAGCGAAACGCGGTGGATCCAGTTGATGCGACTCAGGCCAAGAGGATAACAACAAATAATACGGGTAAGAAAAAGGGGTCAAACGCATCAACACATCAACAGCAGTACATCAGCCAATTAGACTGGCCCTTTGGTGTCATACAACCATAAGGACCTACGGAAAGAAGGATAATAACAGGGAGAGAAGGGGGAATTACCGGAAAACCTTGATGATCTAATTATATATTCGGGGTCAAGACCACCCACATCTGGTCAACGAAATACCATCACAAACAGCTGGCTATCATGTAAAGATAAGGCGGCATCGGCGAGACAGCTTCCTTGCGGTTTGCAGTGGTCCGCGTCATAATCAGCCATTACCCCGCAGATAACTCAGCACCAAACACACTTTAAACAGACAGTACGACTAGGATACGACAGTAGGCACGCCACTGGTGTCGACTGCGAGCCATGTGCCGTAAAGTCTAGAGCCAAGCACAAGGCGAGTCACGTTGACTCTAGCCCGGAAGACGAGACGGACCGACCGCACCCAGTTTGGTCACCAGTGACTTCATTTTCCGCTGCCAAGTCAACTTCTGTCCACCTCGAGCCTTGCGCTACCCTACACCTAGCAGACTAAACAAAGCCCTCCTAGGTAAGCGGTGAGCAGGCATACGTAGCATGTGTCCAAGCCTACGCAACTTATTCAGTGCTATCTCACCATCTAAAGAACTAGCCTGGTTATAACTGTCTAGCACTCGCCTACGCACATCATCGTTGCGGACACGCTGGTGCCATCCGACGCCAGAAATGCTCCGCAGACAACAATGATCAAAAACTTGAAGGCGCCTCTGATCTTTAGACCGAGGTGACCAAGTCTTCTTCCCATAGAGTAGGAAGGCCCAGACAACGGCATTGTATACACGACCTTTAAAACGGAGGGAAATCCCTTTCTGACTTCACAAATGTCGCAGATTAAAAAGACAGTTCTAGCTTTTAGAATACGTGAGCTGACTTCAGTTTCTATGCGCCCATCATTGCTGATACAGCTACTAAAGTAAGTGAATTTGTCAACTACCGCGAGTTCCTCGCTATCTAGGGTTAAGGGGTCATAAAGTGGCTGGTGGTCCTGCAGTAACAGTGCACTTTGAACGTGCGAAGCGAATACAAAGTAACGAGACTACTCGAGAGAGGCTATTCAGGGTTCATTGGGCCAGCCCAACATCATCAGAAAGCAAGGTGATACCGTGCACATAATCAACAGCAACAAGCCTTTCACCACGCAGTATCTCAACGCCTATATCGTGAGATTCCGCAAGGGAACACTTTATGATGGAGCCCACGACGAAGTCGAACAAAAATGGGGAAATTGGACAGCCCTGAAGAACGCAAATTAAGGTTAGAAAGATATCCGACAAGTCACCGTAGACCCAGACGTGTTCGAGTACAGAGTACGTAAAATGTTCCCATATTACATGGGGACACATTTCCGCAAACTATATCGAAGAGAACGGATTGATCGATTGAATCGAACGCACTCTTAAAACCGAGGAATACAGCGATTGTCTTTCTGCGGTATGCCTGGCGCTATTTTAGCACCCGCCAAAGAGTGAATATGTGGTCAATACAGCTACTTCCTTGGCGGAAACCTGCTTTCTCTTCCTCAGTCCGGGATTCCTGTTCCGCAGTGAAGTGACGAACGAGAATCGAAGTCAGTAGTTTTGTCACAACAGGTGTTAGGCTAATACCCGTGGTTAGCAGTCAGTGTGACTGTCCGCCTTGTATATGGCCCCTATAATCGATTCACTCCAATTACAATGGACAGTCTCCTAAGTCCATAGATGTTCGAACAGGGAGGTCAGTGCTTTGCAAAGGATTTCAACTGCACCATGCTTAAATAGTACAGAAAGGTAATCCATGTCAGCAACACGAAGACGATTAAGGGCTGTGATCGCGTTCCGGACTTCAACCTCCGATGGAGCCTCTAAACTAACCGTCCATGGCTCATCCTGCACCACCTGAGTAGGAAGTGGTCCGGAAGTAAGGGGCCAACTAAACTGATCTGGAAAGTGCTTCTCCAAACGAGCAGTTCACCCGCACTATCTCTGATTGTCTCACTGACGCCTGGTTTCCTGGGACAAGTTGTACACATCAGCCGGAAGAGCTTAAATTAATTGCATACTGCTGTCGCCTCCTCCATTTCCTGGACCCGACAGATCCACCATGCTTCCTTGTCAGCATACAGGCTCCGCTTTAGTTCCAGACTAATAGTCCGCCTGCTCACATTGTGCTCAAAGCCAGCCGGAAAGCTTCGTCTGGATTCAAACAGGTCCACCGATCTCTTGAATATACAGTGACTGGTGCGGTGACGATGATAGTACAACAAGCAGATGCTCCTGCGTCGTATATGGCGACCGAGATCGGTGTCATTAGGACAAGGGAGCGAAAGTTAGGTACGCAGTGCATCATGGTAAGTTTGC